CCGCTTGCTCGTTTGCCTCCTTATGTTATAAAAAAAAATACCATACAAACATCCATCAAAGTGCGCGCACACATTGACTAAACTATCGCACAACTTTAGTCTCGCTTTGATTCCTATGACCTTATATAGAGCGCACACAATTCGACTTTTAGTTGCAACAAAACAGTTGAATTGGCTAAACAATCTATAATCACACAACTATAGTGCGATAGTTCCCTCTAAAAAATTGTATTTATAATATTAGTAAGAAGTAAGACTTTAAATTACAGTGTACATATATAATTATTGCGTTTTTAAATATAAATTTTATTGGTTAAGAGCTTTATAATGACGTATCTTTATTTAATAGTATTTAGCAAGCTGTTTCGTAATAATAAAATTGATGAATGAAAACAAAACGATAAGTTTGAATTAACTTTCTCTCGCCAGTTAATTGTTACATTGTTGTTATAATTAACTGTTTGTTCATAATCAGTAGATATTATCTACAGAATTGAATGCGGGATTCGACCGCCATAACGATGACATGATAGTCGCGTTGAAAACTTGATTATTTCAAACTTTATGCATTATAGCTTTAGCTCGTGACTCCGTCCACGTGGGATTAAAAAAAAAAGTGAGTAGCCCATGTTTTCTTCCAGACTATCCTCTACATCTATACCAAATTTCATAAAAATCCGTTCAGTCGTTAAGACTATGAACTCTAACAAACATCCATCCATCCAAACTTACGCATTTATAATATTAGTATGATTACCCACTTTTAATTTTATCAAACTTTCAGACCCAGAACGTAGTTGTTTAAATTGCCTCTTCGTTTGATCATTACAAGAAGTTACGCAATAAAGCGAAAAAGCCACAATTGTCTTTAAATAATTTCTTTTCAAACAAATAAAGAAGAATTTAATGTTTTCATTAACCTTTATATCTGTTACTAGCTGTTGCGCGCGACTTCGCCCGCATGCTATTAAAAAAATAGTAATAATATAGCCTATGTTACTCACTGATAGCAGCTTTAATGGTGCAAGAATTGATAACGGTCTAGTAGTTTTTGTATTATTGCAATTTATACAAAAATACAAATCTTTACTCTTTATAACATTAGTATGGATTATACGCTAAATACATTTTATTATAATAGGAAAAGGATAGAGCTAGACAGTTGTCTACTAACGAAGTAATAACTCAAGAATGCTATGGCATAGGCCGTTAAGTTTTCACTATCCAGTCACTGAATTAACATTGCATTATTCAAATAAATGCATTTAAACCCGCCGCTAAGTCTAGCGTACTTTATAGCACAGAAACATCCGTTCACGCGAAATACAACCTAATTACTATAGTCTTAGAATTATAATGATTGCATTAGAAAGTTTGCGAAGAGTGTGACGACCCATGTGCGTTGCATCTGCGACCGACTGTCTAGCATTCCCTTTGGCGTGCCAATAGGAGGCTCGGCCACTGCTCGCTCATGCTAAAGATATGCGCCTACGGTTGACTGCAATTGCAATGACCACATTTATACTATCTTAGCTAGGAACGTTTACTAATTGTTATTGGTTAGAACGAGTTATTTTAGACAAGTATTTACTCCGTTTTTTATCAAAGGATAGCAAACAATCAAGCAGCCATATAATGTTCGTAAGATACGGGTTTCTTACCACGATTAAATTGTTTTAGCTCCCGGATATTTCGGCACAGTTGCATGCGCCATGTTCACTAGCTGACTGGCTACAATATTATATTTGTAAAAACCACGACAGTTTAAAGTTATAAATCAAGCAGCCACCTGAATTCGATCATACGGCTAAGTGACCCCTGCCCATAAACATCCGCAATTGCAGATGCGTTGTCTACCTTTGTTTTAGGGAAAAGGGGACGTACAGAAAGTGGACATTTCCTATTCCTAAGCTTCATATTCGTTCTTTATAATAAAAAGGTGGGAAAGGAAAGTAAATAATTTAACCAAATAGATTTTGCTTACTTAATTTTAAAGTTACAAAGAAACTTATACTTGGAAAGTAAAAAACCGTAACTAGAATATAATAGCAAATAGTAACTAGAATATAAGATATCTAAGTATTTTTAATAGACTATGATAGATAGTCTTGGACTACCATAAATAAATGTCACTTAAAACTGAAGAGTTTGTTAGCAATATAACCCCGATGTTAGCGACTTCTAGTGACTCAATAATGGCCGTTTATCACAATCCCAGACGTGTGTTAACAGATTTACCGAGCCATCTTACTAAATAGAACAAGCTGACAGACAGACGAACACTCATATGTGTGCAATATAAAAAAGTTTCTTCAGAGCGGGCACACCTTTGATTAAACTATCGCCCAATAGTTGTGCGATTGTAGATTGTTTCGCCAATTTAACGGTTTGCACAACTCAAAATATAGTATTACCATCTCCATAATAGCTTAAGGGAATCAAAGCGAGACGAAACAGTGCGATACTTTAGTCAAAATAGTGCGCGCGTTCTAAGTTTTAGTTTTAATTTCTTTATCGAATAAACCTTACCTAATAATGGTTTAAATAATAATTGACCTCGCATGTGCTTAACAAATCTATACTATTATAATAAAGCTTAATATTTCTTTGTTGCCTAAGATGTCAGCAATTACAGCATATTTTTGAATAATTATTTTTTTAATAAAAGCCCCTATACTTACGCCACGCTTTAGGCTACATGTTTTCACACCATTAAACTTAGGGGTTAAATATTTTGTATAAAAACCCTAATGTGTGAAAGAGACCATAAGTTGTTGCCAACATCAAGAAGGCAAGATTGCCATGGTTTCGTCATGTCATTTTGACATTGGCTATTGATAATTTGACAAATGTGAAGAAAAAAATGATATTTTTATAATTTTCTGCAGAAGAAGTCGCACGGGAACAGCTAGTACTAGTATAATTTCGTGTAGCGTTTGAATTATTAATAACACGGCCTGAACATAATTAATGTTTAAAAATAAAGTCATTCGTCAAACAAATAGAACAGCAGTGTTTACTGCGCGACTGTACGGTGGCATGATGTAACACGACGGACAGACAGAACAGTTCACACGAGTCACCAACAGATGCAGGATTAGGTGACCATGATATATGTGGATAATCCTTTAAGCAGTTCATTAAGGTTGCATTTTTATCATAAGGTGAACATAGAGCAAGAGGGCACAGGAATTTTGCTCAGAGATCAAACAGAGGAGATGAGGCTTGTTTTTAATAAATTCATTTGTTTAAGAAATTATCCACATTAATATGGCCAAAAAAAGTTAAAAAACCATTCAATTGATTGTTAGTGATCGAACATATGGCGTCATAGATCGCGTTTACTAAGTAAAAAAGAAAAAAATACTATAGGAGCAACATAGAATTTAAAATAACAAGACTTCAGTCCAATAAGGATCTTTTACATAAGGTTTATGTGCTATAGGATTTTAATAAGCTTGTCTCTCTATGTACTCTGTAAACTTCGTTTTTTTTTACATAAGAAGAGGGCAAACGTGCGGCGGGAACACAAAGGTGGTCAACGACTCCCATGGACATCCGCAACATCAGACGAACTACACATGAGTTGCTCGCCTTCGAGGAAATTTGTAGGCTCGCTTCTTGAAGGACCCTAAGTCGTATTGGTTTGGAAATACCGCCGAGGACAGAACGTTTCACAACGCGACTGTGCGGGGCAGAAAGCGTCCTAATTTAATTTGTACATTATAGTCACCGTAGTAATACAGTGTGTTGCATTCGGGTCGCGCCCGTCGCTCTCTAATTAAATAGTGATTGACACAGACAAACAGACAGGAGAGCGCAGCCCTTTGACGTTTCAATTAATGTCTCAGGCCGCGGATATTTATGACCAATTCGCTGGATTTGACTTTTTAATTTTCTTGAATTATTTTTGTGCACATGTTATAATGTATTTATATCTGTGGGATTAGATTCTTGACACTAGTTTTGTCTCTATTCTTTTTAAGAGATTTAAAGAGATGGGGATATGTAAATTGTAGCTAAAAACTCTAAGCTTCATATTAAAGTCTAAAAAACTTTACTTCACTTAAAATACTCAGAGTTTGTTAATGATTACTTAAGCAATCATTTACTGCAAATTTAGTATAAAAAATAAGTAACCATCTCTTCTTGTCGCTTAGCAAAAATGCAGAATTTCAGCA